TGGGAGAACTTGCACAATTGGTGGCTGACTAAATACTTTTTTGCCCCACTGTATATGTCTGAGATTCCTCATTGCTAAATTGCTGAAAGCATTTCTCAAAAATAATATATTGTTCCCAAATTAAATGTATTTCTGAAAAAGTAACGGCACCTTGATCTTCTGTGGTACTGCAAATAAAAATGTTTTTAATGCCCCCAAATCTGAAGATTTGTGAAAATCATTTGTATTTTAAAGAATTAAAAATAATGCTGAAACATCATTTTTAGCTTAGTAGAAGACTTCTTCAAAATCCTAGCATCTTATCTCTCCTTATGATGAAATTGAAATTGATTGAAATTGCACTTAGGAAACAATTATGACATACTATTCTCTTCTTTTTCTTTCTTAGCTGGGAGAAGAAATAGGATTTTCCGTGTAATACAAGTATGGGTGTTAAAGGCTTGCATTCGTTTGTGGTCAGTGCCTGTCTGGATGGATGCCTAATAGTAAACCTGAAAGAAGTGGCTGAAAACCATTGTAGAACCTATCCTGGATCTGTTCCTGTTCTTGTAGTAGATGCTATGTCTTGTCTTCGACAGTGGTATACACCACAGTCTTGGGTCTGTGGGGGCCAGTGGTGTGAATATCTTTCCAACTTGGACAGTTTCATAAATCGCTTTACAACTGCTGGTATCAAACTAGTATTCTATTTTGATGGCCTTATAGAGCAAAAAAAACGAGATGAATGGGTCAGACGAAGACTGAAAAATAACAAAGAAATAGCTAAGATCTTTCAGTTTATCAAAGCCAATAAGCAGCAACCTGGGAGAGGAATGTTCTTTATACCATCTGGGCTAGCCACATTTACACGCTTTGCCTTGAAAACCCTTGGTCAAGAGACTATATGTTCATTGCAAGAAGCAGACTATGAAATAGCATGTTATGGACAAAAGAACAATTGCATGGGAATTCTTGGAGAAGACACAGATTACCTAATTTATGATACTGCTCCTTATTTTTCCATTAATAAACTACACTTGGATTCACTGGAAACAGTAATGTTCTCAAGACAAAATCTCTGCCGTTGGCTTGGTCTCAGTGTCCCAGACCTTCCCCTTTTTGCTTGTCTCCTTGGCACAGACATTGTCCCAGAAAGTGCTATGGAAGGTTTTCGGAATCAATGTTTATCTTCATATCAGGTAAAAAGACAAGCCTGTGACAAAAAAACAAGGATTATTCTTGCTGTGGCAAATTATATTTCAACTATTCCACATGTACATGAGAGTTTGATAGTTCTGGAAAAAATGCTGCCTTTGGGATCAGACAAATCAATATTACGCAAAGGAATAGAATCTTATTTGCTGCCTGGACAGCATTCTCCATGGCTTCCTTGTGACTTTACATCTCACTCAGTAGCAGAGCTGAAGAAGGATATCCCTCTTTGTTTGGATCAGGAGATCTTTCAGGTAATTCCTCACCTGAGTTACCTGAATTCAGGTAATTACAAATAGCTGGTACTTTGGCTGTTACAGATGCACAGATGGATGTTTTATCAAGTGCATTGGGTGCTAGTACTTCCCTATATTGTTTTCTTTGGAGGGAATACGGGATAATTTGTTCTCCTATTATATTAAATACTCATTAATCTCCAAATGATATGCAACAAAGTTGGATTACTCATAGTCCACCTATGACCCTTAGATTCATTTTTATGGCCTCTGGAGCAGTTCAAGAATGTGCTGCTGAAGGTGGCAACAAAAGGTGATGTTGGGTGGCATGCTTTTCCTTTTTTGCAAACATCAGTGAAACAAAGGCTAACACAAGTACAGAAAATGAGTGCTAGGTTTAGTCCATCTATTTTACCTTACTCCCCCATATCAAAAAGGCTGAAAATTTCACTCCCACCAAGATGTCACCACATCACTGCTAGGCTCTCTGTGGCCCTCACAGGCAGAAAAAAAGAAAAAGAATTAAAGATGTTTTCTGAGGCTAAAGGGAGTCTTAAGTATAGAATGACAAGAGCAAAAGCAAATAATATTTTTTTATTCTGCTTGTGACAGATAGCTAAAGGGCAGCATGTACAAGCTGAAAATCATATGGTATACAATGTCCTAAGCTGTGGAGAGGTTGAGTGCAGCAACACATTGGAAGATGAACATGATACATCACTTCCTGGACAGGCACTTATCTATCGCCCTGCTCGCCAGCACATCTATTCCATCCTGCTGGAGTCTGCAAAAGGTAAAAGGTGCAACGGACATTTACTATTGAATCCTTGAAGCTGGGAAGAATGAACTGCAGTTGACCCATATCCTTATGCACAAGCTTTGGAAAAGTGATTTGCGCTCACATAGGTACACAATTTAGTCCTTGATACTGTAGACAAGCCACATGTAATTAATTAAGAGAAGGCTACTGGAAATAATTGGAGGGAACAGTGTGCACTTGAGGGCTGGTGCATTTTTGAACCTTTTAAGGAGGTCTTGTAAAACCTCCATAATCAAATACTCACGAAAGCTGTTAATAATCAGAAAGCAAAGCAAAACAGTTTCGTTTGGCCTATTTTAGCAGATTTTTTTTAAATGTTATTTTAACAAAAATGTGTGTTTTCCTCCCAAGTGTTGAAATAATCCTAAATGAGTTTGGGGAGTTGTCCCTAAGGTGTTAACTTTTTTTCAAAATTACATTTAGAATAATAATGATGGAAAATGAATTTTGGTAGAAATTTAACAGGAAAAAATAATACAACTAAGGTGAAGCAATTCCCTAAATGGATTGCATAGTCATATTAGTCAGCACAAAACTTGGGATGAAACAGCAACAATATGTATGATTTTTTATTTTTTGGAAGCATATATTTTTATTCTAGGAATACAGAACACAGCTACCTTGATCTTTGAGAGATTAATTTTCAGATCGAAGCCTCTCTGCATCATATAAGCTATCTAATATTCGCTGCAAATGATTCAGGTTATCAGTTAACATGATATCATCTGCTACAAAAGTACCTGTACTTTCATGTCCCCAGCCAAATACCTCCAATGTCATCAAAAGTGTTCCTTATAAATGTACTGTATTTATAAATATATTAAAGAGCCAAGGGAATACCACACATCCTTGTCTTACTCCCTGCTCAGTATTGAACCATTCATTAATCATTCTACTCTCACACATACTTTACTTCCATCATATACCACTCTTACCGCATTCAGCAACCAATCATCAACTCCATAATCATGCAAAACATTTCATAATGTAAACCTATTTGCTTTATTACTTTCTCTAAACAAATATACAATAAACTTTCTCACATTCATACCTTCTTCAGTTACATGCTTGAGTCCAAAAATGAGTCCTGCATACCCCTGCCTGATGTAAAGCTGCTTTGCATGTTACACATTTTGCTCACTTATCCATTCTGTTACTCTTTTGATCAGATTTCTGCCCAATACATTCCCAGCTACAGTTAACAAACTGACCCCCCCTTTACTTTTTGCATTCATTCGTGCTACTTGTCCTTTTGTGTACAGTGTTCTTTCCATCATGAGGCACAGGTGCAGTCTTCCCACACACATTAAACAAGCTGCCCAGCCACTCCGTTAGAAACCACACCCAGATTTTAACATTTCTCCAGTTGCACCTCTATAGCTGCAGCCTTAGCATTTGTCAACACTCTGATAGCATTTATGACTTCCTTATCATCAATTTTTTCCCCCTTGGACACTAAGATTTATGGTATTTGCTTCAGTTCTGCTTTTGATATAGCACTATAATTCTGATACAAGTCTCTAAAATATACATCCATCATTCCTTCGCTTCAATTTCATATAATTTTATTACTTTTATGTTTAATTCCATTCACTCTGCTGGAGGCTCCAGGTTTAGCCGACTTCATTTATGTCCCCAAAAAAGTTTTTACGTCCATCAAAATAATTCATTCAGCATCTTTTAATTTTAGCCATTCCTTTCTCTCTTTAATTATATTTTTTCAACTGTTTTTTTTGTCTCTGTATACATTATAAACTTATTTTTCATCCTCATTTTTTTCAGCAGTCATTCTCTGATGTAGATTTTTCCCCTCATTTGCAGCCTCCTTTTCTTCGTCATTCTAACCAAGCATTCTTTCTCGTAACTCCCATTAAAATAGCTCTCCGCATTTCTGTGGCATTCCATAACTTAGTTCATTTTGCTCTGTTCTCAGCAGCTTTCCATCTTTTTTTCTTTATTTCCACTTTCATTCTGTTGGGAAATTAATATATTTTCTAGTATAGAACTTTTCCACACAATAATTATACTTTATCTTATTATACTTTAGGCTTTATCTTCCTGCAGTTATTCTGCTTTCTCTCTTGTTTCTGTCACTTTCTTCCATTTCTATTTTTTCAGAAGATCCATTCTTGACACAACCTAAATTTTATCGGTTCCGCATTCAGAAACGTTGTTTCCTTCACTATTTCTCTTAATCTTCCATCATAAACAACAAAATTATGCTTTTAGACTTATATTCATTCATTTGCCACATGTACCTATGAGTACATTTATGTTTAAACCTACTTGGAGCAAACAAATCCTTTTCTAAGCAGATGCTCACTGAAGAGCCTCATTCTAATTCATTCTAGGGTCTTTGAATAGCCCAATCACTTTTTCTTTATTCTGTCATCTCATTCCCACTCATCCATTCAGGTCACTTATAAGATTTCCCCCCCCCCCCCCCTGGATCACATACATTCATACATTGTCACCACTGACTGAGATTAAGCTGAGGATGGCATGCAGCTATGAGGCTGCAAACTGCTCACCTCTCTGCAGATGGAGTAACTACTATAAGCAGTACTTAATCTGATAAAGTTGCAATGAGTTCTCTACAGAGTTAGGCAACTTTGCACAAGAGACTCAAAGGTATTGGAGTTGATACTTGCACGTGGGTGGAAAATGGGGTATCTGCAGTTCAAGCAGAATGATACCACCTGCAAAGTATAACTAAGACTGAAACCTCATTGGCAACTGGTACAGTGCAAACAGAAGGTTCCCATTTGTAACTCAGCTGTTGTTGTTTTGAGTTGATGATCAGCCATCAATGCATTTTAAATTAGAAACATATCTATTGCAATCTGACTGTGTATAGGATAACCTGATGATTCAGTGAACCCTCCAAGCTGCAAAGTTATCTTACCCCTCTTTCCTCACCATCCATCCAATAATACTTTTCTGGTGCAATATATACTTCTGTATTTTCAGTTGTTTTCAAATATTCATAGCTTTTCAAACCACAAATTAAATTTAACATATTTTTTATCTAAAGGATGCTCTAAGAATAATTTCCAAAGTGATGGAGGTGGTCTTTCTGCCACCCCTTGCTTT